CTTCTCCTCTTCTTTCTTTTGCAGTACTGGGTAATGGACCCAGGGTCTTTGCACTGAACTACATCCCAGCCATTTTTAAAATTTTGTTTTGAGACAGGGACTTGCTAAGTCACTAAGTTGCCCAGACTACACTCACATTTGGGATCTTCCTACCTCAGCCTCCCAGACTGCTAGAATTATAGCTGTGCACCACCATAAGCTTTTATCTAGAAGGGGCAGGTAAACTGGTAGGGAGGGCGGAAGTGACACAGAGATGGAGAAGTGTACTGCAATTGTCCCCATGTGTTCAGTTTCCCTTTCCATGGATTTAGTTACCTGTGGTCAACCAAGACCTGAAGATATGAAATGGAAAATTCTAAAAACGAACAATTTATAAGTTTTAAATTTTACACTGCTGTGAGTAGTATGATGAAATTTCAAATTGTCCTACATCAAAATGAGGCAGATGGTCCTCCTCCTGGCCTATAGTCAGAAGGCCAATAGCTTCCTAACCTGAGGTCACACTGCTGATGCCATTCACCTCATTGTATCTTGTCATCTAGGCACTGTGTCATCTCACATCATCACAGGAAGGATGAGTCCAGTATCATAGGACACTCAAAGAGATAGAGGCAGAGACAGACCACATTCATAGAATTTGTACCACAACGTATGATTAACTTTATCATTAATGATTATTATTAACCTCTTACTATACTTCATTTATAAACTAAACTGTATCATAGTACTATGGTTTAAATATGAAATGTCGCTGTAATTTAGCTCAGTGGTTCGGTGGCCTGCCTTGCAAGCGCAAGGACCCGAGTTCAATCCCCGGTACCAAAAAAAAAGCTCTTAAATATGAAATGTCCCCCACAGGCTCACGTATTGAGGGCTTGGTGTCCAGTGCAACAGTGTTCAGAGATGGAGCCTAGAGAGGTGACCGCAATATAAGTGTGTTAACCTAGTTCACGGTTTCATGGGCCATTAGGAGGTGGGGCCCAGTTGGAGAAAGTAAGTCACCAGAGAGTGTGCCTTTGAAGGATATGACTTGTTCCCTTCCCCTTTGTTTCTTTCTCTGGCTCTTTGCATCTCTCTCTACTTCCTGGTGCCATGAGGTGAGCGGCTTCCCTCTGCCCCACCCTTCTGCCATGATGTTTCCGCCTTGCCACAGGCATAAAAGGAATGAAGCCAGCTCACTATGCATGAAGACTGTGAGGCAAAACAAAATTTTCCCTTTTTAGGTTGTCTTTCTCAGGTATTTTTCCCCCACAGTGATGAGAAGCTAACATACTTAGGTATGTGTAAGCAAAAGCATAGTACTGTATATAATGCATTCAACCCTACCTGAGGTTTCAGGCATCCACTGAGGGCTTGGAATGTGTCCTCATATAAGGAGGGACTTCTGTATTGAGCCAGCTGCCATCATGGGAAACTGCAGTTTAATTTCCTAAGGGAAACCCAAAACAAACATATGCCTCAGAATTACCCCACTCCAATATGGGAGGAATAGAGATATTTATACACCAACCCTCTGGAGTTAGTGGTTCATATTAATTTCTTTGTTCATATTAATTTCTGATCACTTTTATGATGCCCTATTCTGGGAAGAGCTATCTTCCTCAGTTCTGGGAAGAAAGAACTTTCTGATGATGGATGCAATACTGGCAATGGAAATACATGTTACAGGGAATTGGGTGGGACCTCACCCACAGGGTAGGTTGCAGGTTTGCTGACTTCTGTCACAGAAAAAGAATTTTCAAGATGTGTCAGGGAGAGGCATACAGAGGTTTATTAGGCAGAAAGAACTTTACACCCAGAGGAGGGTGCAGGTGTTTGTAGAGTGAGACGCACTGTAGCCTGGGTTGTGGTTTTTATGTGATATTGGGGTATCTTCAAGATGAACAATCTAGGATAGGGGTCCCCAATCCCTGGGCCATGGACTGGTACTGGTCAACAGCTGCACAGCAGGCAGTGAGAGGCAGGTGAGGAAACTGCTTCCCATCGCTCGCGTTACTGCCTGAACTCCACCTCCTGTCAGATCAGTGGTGGCATTAGATTCTCATAGGACCTTGAGCCCAACTGTCAACTTCACACTCAAGGGATTGAGGTTGTGTGCTCCTTTGAATCTTCCCAAAACCATTCCCTTCTACACCTGTCTGTGGAAAAATTGTCTCCACCAAACCAATCCTTGGCACCAGAATGGCTGGGGATCACTGGTCTAGGATACGTATTTCTACTGCCTGTCAGGCCACCCATTCAGTGGGCCAGATTAGAATGCAAGCCATTCGAACATGTTTGAACTTTAGAAATCTTTTGTCCACATAATAGTTCTGCTTCTTAGATGATGGAAGTCTGTAAGAGAAACAGCAGTTTACAGAGTGAAAAACACAGACTAGGGCCCAGTTTACGGGCTTACTGTACCTCAAAGACCCTTAGGAATTTTTTTGGAAGTGTGTTTCCTGGAATGGAAAAAGGCATTGTAACCTTGGGTAACTTTTGTGTCCAGAAGCTGCAGTGTTTCTTTAAAAATATAATTTTAAAATTATTATTTCCCTTGTCTCCTTTCTACCTATCTTTATTTCCTCTATTCTAACTCAACATTCTTGACTTCCAATACCAAAGATGTGTGGAGTTTTTCCTCACACTAAGCAACTTCCTACTGGAAACCAACTGGGTATCCTGCAATTCAACACTGACAATCACTGCCTGGGGTTAGTGCAGACCTGTAGGTGAGGGGCCCCATCCCATAGGACGATTGCTTACCCCAACACAGGGAATCCCTGGGTTACACACACTCCTGGCTAACTAGTGCTGTGGGTGAATGTCCCACTAAAGCTCATGTGGTAGAAGACTTGTCCTCAGGACGACACTATAGGGCAGTATGGTGGAACCGGTAGAACCTGTAGGCGGTGGGGCCCATGTGAGGTCCTCTAGGTCACTGGAGTTGCGCCCTCAGAAGGGATCTTGAGACCCAGGCCTCTTCCTCTTCCTCCCTTCTGCTTCCTGGCTGGTGCTGTTCTGCTGCACACTCCCACCCTAATGTGCTGACCACGCCAGAGGCCCAAAGGAAAGGGACTGCCTGAACTTGGACAGGAGACTCCAGAGCTCTGAGATAAATCAACTTTCTGTGTTTGCAACTGCTGCCTCTGGCATTTCATGGTAGGGTCAAAAAGCAAAAGAAGCAAGAGGCCATCTTGAGGAAACATACACATTAATATAGGAAAGGTATCACATTTCTGAACATGTTTGGTTCAAGGCCATGCATCACATATTTTAAAAACGGATGGGAATGACTCTGGACAGAATGAACAAATTTTAACGTAGTTCACCTGCAAGAATCTATCAGAGTGACTTGGTGAGTCCGGCTGGTTCTTTGTAAGTTTCCCTGGAGGATCTTTGCTAAAACAAAAACAAACTTCCAGGGAGCCTTAGCAGTCATTTTAAAGGGGCAGCCTCCCCATCTGGCACAAGTAATTGCGCGTGGACACAGCTGCCCAGTGGCTGACGATTGCAGGCGTTATCTCATTGACTCCTCCCTCCCTCCCTCCCTAGAATAGGCACCATTATTTTCATTTTACAAACGAGAAAACAAAAAAGATAATACTAGCTATCTGGGAATTCTTTTCCAGAAGGGTGTTATATAAGCGCTCAATAAAAGTTGTGCCGATGATAATTTATTTGGAAGGTAATAGCATACTGCTTCTGGCAGGTTTTTTTTTTTTATTCCACAATTCATTGCCCAACAAAGTGCTTTGCATACGGAATATGCTCAACCAATGAATGGTGTGCTCTACTGGATTGAGCCCTCCCTTGCTGAATTGCACATACAAGATTGTATTTTCCAAACCAAGAAGTCCTGCTTTATGAGTTCATTTATCTGAAAGATCTTGTCAAAGACAAAACTCAGGGGACAATTAAGGAGATGACTTTACAAGGACTATTGCACTAGGGAGAGCCTTCCAGATGGCAGGATCCAAGTGTGGCAGTGAGGTGGTTTGCTTTAGAGGTGTACAGGGAGGTGTAGGAGAGGGCAGGCCGTGTACAGTGAGATTGTTTTGCAAGCAGAGGAAGTCTCAGTCAGATGAGAAGGATGCGTTTATCTAAGTGCCTGGTTTGGGGAGGGGCAATTCTCATCTTTAATGTTGGAGGTCTTCTGCGGCCTTGTTAAAGATAAACACAGGAATGAGGACAGGTGCACAGAGTCTTACCTAAAACAGTGGGAGGATTGGTTTCTGTAACACCTCACTTCCAGGAACACAAAAGGATAGGGAAATGTTGGAAAATAAAAGGATGAGGGAGTTTTTCACTGTGGCTGTTTTCCAGGATCACTAGGTCAGCTAAATTCAAAACACTGATCTTCTCAGTCTCTTGAAAATTTAACTTCATTTTATTGCCTATTAAACCTCACTTTTGAAAACAAAACAAGTCTCCTATCCCTCTTGCCCCTCCACTGCAGACACAGCAAAAGCAATCTTTTCAAATGCATCTCTGGCATCCTCTGCTGTCTTCCCAAGCTTTCAAATAAAGATCAAAGTCCTTAGCAAGATCTCTGGGCCCCACCTGAGCTGGCTCCTGACTGGTCTCTGGTCTTATCTCAGAGCCTCTGTCCTTTCTCTGGGGGACACTCCAACTTCATTGCTCTTTCTAGAATATTCCATGCTTTCTTTTGCCTTGGACCTTTGTCTAAATTGTCCTTTCTGCCTCAAAACTCTCTACCCTCCTGATCTCAAACCCTGCCTCCATAAAGTCCTCAAACTTTGCTGATTACTTCCTAATTCTTCATTCTGTAGCACAAGTTCCTTTGTTAAAAGCCCTTGAAGACCAAAATTCTTTTCCTTTAGAGCAGTACCAACAGAAATATAATATAACACTATTATAGTCAGGGTCTGCCAGGGATCAGATTTAATACAGGACACATAAGTTATAGGATTATTTTTTTCCTGTACCAGAAATCAAACTCAGAACCTTGAATTTACCAGGCAGGGCAGGGCCACTGAGCTGCATCCCCACCCCCTATTTGTAGGATTATTTTATAATATTCACCCAACATAATGTAAGCCACATATTTTATATTAAATTTTCCTATTGGCTTATTTTAAAAAGTAAAGAAAAAAGTGATTTTTTTGTCTTAAATTTTTTTCTATTTTTAATTGTAGTATAATACACATAGCAGAGTTTCATTATGACAATTTCAAAACATGTGGTTCATTCGCACCCTTGTGGAATGAATCTCCAGAATTTTCAGTATCTTTTTTTCTGATGTAATATGAAACTCCATACTCACCGAACAATAACTTCCCAGCTCCCTCCAGCCCCTGGCAACCACCACTGTATGATATGTGATTTAAAACTACAGCGATTGTTTACATTAAAAAATTATTCCAGTAAAAGACACATTGCCATTATCCTCCATCACAATGCTCCTCCTATCTTTAAACACATGCGTATCCGGTCCTTCTTGTCGCTTTCAGAAGCAGTTCTGGAGGCCTCTTCTGTGAGCGTCTTCCATTCTGCTGTGCTGGCTGCCTCACTGTTCTACACTGACTCAAAATATCTACTCTTCATGGTCGTTTTTACTTCAGCAAAGAGAAAAAGGCACACAGCGCCAGAGCTGGTGAATAAGGTGAATGAGGATGCACGGTGATGCTTTCTTTGACGAGTCTGCTTTTTCTGCTGGATGGCACTGGGCAACAGCATTCACTGCATGTTGGAACATACCTCATTTATTACAGAGACACTCATGAAAGAGGACTTCTGGAACAGCTTCAGGAAGCGGCAAGTGTGTTTGAAGTGAGGGAGAGTATTTTGAGGAAGATTAATGCTGATGTGTCTTTTAGCGTAGTAAATCTTTAAAATGTAAATATTCATCATATATTCTGTTCACACTTTATATAGTCTTATGAGTTGTGACTTTCTAAGATACTTCTATGTATTACCTAATTTAATCCTCCCAATAACCTACTCTATTAAGTCCACTTTTAATGTACAAAAAGTCTGAGCTCAGCTATAATGGTTCAAGAGAGAACAACTGAAAGAGAGGGCTGGGACTGTGAACTAGGCCCTCTACTTTTTTTTACCTCTTTGAATTATGGCTGAGTTTGTCTGTAAAGCACACCTTGGTTCCCAGCTGGCTTCTCAACTCACTGGAGAGGATGCATGTTTTTCTTTTCTTTTTATTTATTTATATTTATCTATTTATTTTTGTTTTGTTTTTTGAGACAGGGTCTCACTATGTAGTCCAAGCTGGCCTTGAACTCAAGATGATCCTCCTGCCTCAGCCTCCTGAATGCTGAGATTGCAGATGTGTGTTATTGCTCTCCAGCAGCACATTCTCTTTTTTTTTGGTACCAGGGAGGGATCAAACTCAGGACCTTGCACTTGCAAGGCAGGCAGTAGCAGTGGCACCACTGAGCTAAATTCCAGGCCATAGCACACTCTTTTCTTAGATATGCAAATTCATTCATTGGTCAGGGGACCCAGGCCCGGAATCCATTTTGCTCCCTTCAGATGACTTAGTACATTTTGTGGGGCATGGTAGTTGCATGCCCGTATTCTCAGCACTCAGAAGGCTGAGGCATAAGAAGTGCGAGTTTGTGGTGAGCCTGGGTTACATAGTGAGATCCTGTCTCAAACAAAACACACTGTAATGGCTTACATCTAAAACAGGCACTGAAGCCTCACAAGTGTGGAAAGTGGTTGGATTACAGTGCAGGGGACTACAGCTGATTTGCTGTAGGAGGTGGGGTCTGGTGGGAAGAGGCAGTTCTGGAAGTCCTCTTTCATGAGTGCCTGTATAATAAATGAGGTATGACCAAGAATACAGTGACTGCTACTGCCCAGGGCCATCCAATGGAAAGGCAGCCTCTTCAGAGCATCACAGTTCATCTTCGTTCACCTTACGTACCACACTGGGGTGGGACCGAAGGGTATGTTCTTCCTGGCCCCTCCCTTTTCTCTGCTTCCGGGCCACCATGAAGTAAGCAGCTTTGCTCCGCTGAGCCCCTCTGCCACGCCACTATGCCCTGGAGCCAGATGATCTTGGACTAATCATGAGCCAAAAATGAACCTCTCTTTAAGTTGTAGGTGTCTGGTGCTGTGCATTGTGTCCCCGGGAGGAGAAAGGGACTAAGACATAAACAGAGGCCTTTGTGAATCTAGCCTGCTGGCTCAAGACTTCATGGCATCCCTGGGAGGGCAACTGCCTCCCCCTCATTTCCTAGTTATTGTGGAACGCCTCTTCATGGTGCCAGAGTTCTGATAGCAAACACCCACTCTGATCCTCAGGAAATCCAAACCAGTCTGACATTTCGGAGGAGGGATTGTTTAGTGTTTCTCTCTCTGCACAAAATTTGGAACACTTCCAGAGAAAGGACCTAGGCTGTTAGAGGAACCCTAATGTGAAGGCTTTTGTTAAATGTAGGACCAGATTTGTAAATCAAAAAATTCTCCCTCAGCCAGATAGAAACAATAGCTCCCATATGCTAGTGCCTATCGCAGACTAGAAATTGTGCAAAGGTTTCACAGCCAATTTCATCATCTCTCTTTTTTAAATAAAAAATTATTGAGATATAATTTGTATATCATACTGTTCATCCTTTAAAAATGTATAAATGACTGTTTTCTGTATATTCACAAGGAGATCTCACCACCACTGCTATCTCGTTCTGGAGCATTCCTATCAAACAAAAGAGAAATTCCACCCAGTGAACTGTCATTCCTCATTCTCTGCCTCCCCAAGCCTTGGTTAAACACGAATGTATTTTCTGTCTCCATAGATGTGCCTATTCTGGGTATTTCATATACCTATATATGTGTGTTGTATTTATTTACTTTTTGAAACGGTCTCGGTATGTTACCCTGACCGACTGCCAATTTTGTAGCTTAAGTGGTCCTCCTCCTTTAACCTCTGGAGTGGCTGGCACACAACACTGTGCACAGCTTGGGCCTTTCTTATACATGGAACAGTACAGTGTGTGGCCTTTCATGCCTGGCTTTTTTACTTAGTATAATATTATGAAGGGTCATCCATGTGTAAGTACTTTTTCCTTTCCTCGACCTTACTCAGTACAGGGCATTAACCACAGAGGTGCTCTACCACCGAGCTACAGCCCCAGCCCTTTCAAACATTTTTTTAAAATTTTGAGACTAGGACTCACTAGATTGCCTGGGCTGGACTTGAACTTGCAATCCTCCTATCTAAACTTCTCAAGTAGCTGGTATCACAAGTATGAGCTTCTAGGCTCAGCACTTTATTCTAATGATTTGGTATTTTTCTGTTGCACAAATATACCACATTTTATTTGTGTACTCATTATAAATGGAATTTTTTCTTTTTTTGTTTTGTTTTGATTTGTTTTTTGCTGGGGTTTTGCTGTGTAGTTAAGGATGGCCTTGAACTCACTATGAGGCCCAGGCAGGCCTTGAACTCACAGTGATCATCCTGCCTCAGTGTCTGGAATGCTGGAATTACAGGAAAGTGCCACCACACTCCATGTATGGCTTCCATCATCTTTTAATCTTCATCCTAACCCTAAATGTGTGTATTGTTCTAGTGGATCCAGTAAGTGAACAAATCTTCCCAAGAAATTATTGACCGAATTAAAAAATCCCACATATATGGGGGACAGGGGTTCATGCCTATAGTCTTAGCTGAGGAGAAAGGATCACTTGTCCTCGTGAGTTCAAGACCAGGTTGGACAATATGGAGAGACACCAATTTCCAAAAACATTAGAATAAAAAATAACCAAAGTAACGACCCAATTAACAACAACAATAACAAAGGGCCAGTGACCAGTGCTGGTTTTCATGTGGGAAAAGAGCAGGAATTCTGCATTTTTGGTTTTTTTCTCCCCAAATCCACCCCAGCCTCAATCAAATGAGAATACCCTGAAGCACCAATCCATCTTTTTGTTGAGGACAGATATATTTCAACCAAGAAAATTATTGGCATTTGTGGTGGATTAACTAATGGTCAATTTGGAACGCCCAGCTGAACTGAATCAGCATGGTTCTGGGCATGGAAGACCCACCTGAGGATTGTTGCCAACAGCATAAAAAGACAACTGGAGGAGAATATTCTTGGCTGTTGATTTTCTAGGAGGAGCTTGCCATGGCTGGTTTTTGTGAGGCAAACTTGGCTGTTCTCCTTGCCTGAGGAGCTCTGGGCCTCGCCATCACTGAGAAGGGCTGGTGTCTTCTGATCTTCAACTTGAGCATTGCTTCCTGGCTCCAGTGTAGATCCCTCAGCTTGGTGGCACAAGTTGGCTCAGGTTTTCTAACTTCCACCCCTGGCCTTTGGGCCTTCCTGGTGCAGATCCTTGAATGTGGACTTGCATGAGGCATTGCTGTGGACTCTAAGACTCTGGCTGGACTTATAGAGGATAGGATATTGCCTGGGACCCTCAGCTGGATCCTTCAGGTCTCTGGTGTGTGGACACATCTCTCCCCACTCCTCTGCACTTGCCCTTGTGGGTGACTATTACCCAATAATACTATAAATTATGTGTCCTGTACTAAATCTATTCCCTTTCAGACCCTGACTACAATAGCATTATCTTATGTTCTCAGTCCTTGATGAACTCTTAAGAGGTTTTCTGGGACTTCCCATAGCCCACAAGAATCCTGCCGAGGAGTACAGTTGGTTAAGCATTCCAGCCTCCAGCCCTGACTAGATTCAAATATCCCATCTGGCAGTTAATAAGAGTGTCACTTTGGGCAGAGCTTCCAGATGGTTATTACAAAATGGGACTATTAGCCAGGTGTGGTGGTGCACACCTACAATCCCAGCACTCTGGGAGACTGAGGCAGGAGGATTCCAAATTTGAGCCCAGTTTATGAAATTGAGCGATTTAGTGAGACCCTGTGTCAAAATAAAAAATGCTGGGGTTGCAGCTTGTTGCAAAGATCCTGGGTTCAATCGTCAGTACTTATATAAAAAAAGATAAAGTAATTATACCTTCACAGTTATTCTAAAGCTGCTGTGAGGAGCAATCAAGTGTTTAGGACAGTGACTGTCACTGCAGACACAATCACATTGACCCTATTGGAGTGAGGGGGCACCTTTGTGCCGTTAAGCCCCCACCCCCAATTCCACACGCGTTCTTCCTCTTCCCTAACCATCGCCCAATCCACCCTCCACTCTCTTCTGGGTAACTTTTGATTCAGGCCTCATCCCCTTTCCCTAGTGCTGCTGGGGATCCCTGCCCAGTGTGGCTCACGGTAGGGCAGCTCCTGAGCCACATCCTCTATTCTCACGTCGCGTTTTAAAGGCCACGTCCTTCTTCACTAAGGGCGCTCTTGAAAGCATCCTGCCTGTTCCTTCATTATTTTACAGCAGTCCGTAATTGTCTATTTGTTCTAATTAATCAATCTGTTGACCAGGAACCTTGTTTATCTTGCTTTCTGTTATAGCCTTGATACCAGTCATCTAGGATCATGGCAAGCATTCATCAAACACTGATGGAAAAGTGTGACCCTTTCCTGAACTCCGTTCAGAAAGGGAGAGTGACCTTTCCAAAAACCACAGGTTAGCAGCATAGTTAATCCTAAATCTCCTTTTTCTTTTTTGATGGTAGTAGGCATTGAATCCAGGGTCCCACACAAGGTAGGCAAACAGTCTACCACTGAGCCACACCCCAGCCCAGAATCCCTACTCCCCTTCCCATCTCATTGCCAATTCTGTCATCAAACCCGGAGCATTCTATCACTGAACGACATCTCCTGCTCTTCTCATTTATTTATTAAATGCTGAAATAGCGTCTTGCTAAAATTGCTCAGGCAGGACTAGAATGTGTGACCCTTCTGCCTCAGCCTTCCTAAATGCTGAGATTATAAATCTGTGCCTCCGCGCGCAGCTCAGGGTCCTACTTCTAACCTAGGACTCCATCACTCGAACTAGCAAGAATTTTCCTAAACTGCTCAACAGATTTTTGAGGGCCAGGTAAAGTTCCACGAAGGGAGTAGGATGGAGTGGGGGAAAGTGGTCTGGCTTGGCTCCTTCTCTCTGGACACTGATATGGGCATACTGTGAAGTGAAGGATTAGCGCAATAACGAAGGGGAAGGAAGGCTACAGGGATCAAACCAGCGAGAAGACAACCAGTTTAAACGGTTAGGACAGTAGAGAACAGAAGGCGCTGGCAGACCCTGCGCAGGCGCAAAGAGCGCGCCAGGCTGTTTCGTTCTGCGCCCCGCTCCCTCCCGCGGGAGTTGCAGGGCTCTTAAAAGGTCAGCAGACTCGACGCCGTGCGGGTCACGTGACGGGAGGCGGGGTGCTGACGCCCCGCGCAGGCGCAGCTCCTGGGTGGCGGGTCAGCTGATCCGAGGTGTGGTTTCGCCGGTTTTAGGCCGGTCCTTTGGTTCTGTGAGCCGCAGCAGCCATGGCCAGCCAGTCGCAGGGAATCCAGCAGCTGCTGCAGGCCGAGAAGCGGGCCGCGGAGAAGGTGTCCGAGGCCCGCAAGCGTGAGTTTCGAGGCGGCCAGGCGTGGCGTGAGGCTGAGGAAGGCGTTAGGCCGCAGAGGTGGTAGGCTGAGAGATCCGAAAAAGTCCCGGGAGTCGGGGATTACGGTGGGCTGGCGGCTGACGTTTTAGGACGCGCTCTTCAGTTGAGGCTCTGGAAGGTTTCTGGGTCGTCTGGGAGCCGCGTGGTGGGCTAAGTCGGGTTCTTCTTGGGGTCTGGGAGCCGTGTGAAATGGGCCATCCAAACGGATCTCTTTCTCTCCTCCCACTTGATGGGTTTAAAGGCTCCAGGCCCATTGAAGGGGCCGCCATCCAGTGTCGTTCAGGCTTGTGTTCTGGAGTCTATTCTTTCTTGTTCGTCCTGTAACAATCAGTCGACAGTGTTTTTGTGGCTTCTTCACTTTGTTCTCGACTGGCAGCGTCATAGTACGGGACAACTATTCTGAATCTCCTGTAGCAGCCTGACTCGTAATTCCTTTCACGTATATATTTTAAAGTGAGGGTAACAAGTGTCGGCACAGCGCTAGGTGCATCACCATTGTGGTATCCCACGTCCCAAAGAAGGAAATAGATATTGGATAGGCTAATTGTAGGCGAGTGGGAAGGCTGGAGTTGAGAAATACAAGATTGCTAAAGAATGGAACAGCTGGGTCTAATCTACCGCGAGGAGTGGAGGGAAACCAGTTTTAATCTCTCCTACAATCTGTTTTCCTCATTGTAGTCAGTAATCCCTATAAAATGCACCTATGATGTCTTGACCATCTTTACAACGTGTTGAGTGTCAGCAGAATAAAATTTAAATTCTTTTAGGAGGGAGGTTAGTAGGTTGAATCTAGGGGCACTCTACCTCTGCGCTCCATTTCTTTTAAAAAGTTTATTTTTATTTATTTAAACTTTGAGACAGGGTCTTGTTAGGTTTCCCCAGCAAGAGCCAAACTTGTGGATTCTCCTTTCTCAGTTTCCCTAAACGCTGGGATTATAGGTGGTTGCCATAGCACTTGGTCTCAGTGGGTTGGAGGAAGCTTTATTGCATCACTGTTTTCCGTTTTTTTTTTTTTTTTTTTTTTTTTTTTTGGTGGTATTGGATGTTGAACCCAGATCCTTTGCAGTGAGATAGTGAGATACACCCCTAGCTCTTTTTATTTTTTGAGACAGGGTCTTGCTAAACTGCCCAGAGTGGGCTTGAATTTGGCATCCTCCTGCCACAGCCTACCAGAGTTCTGGAATTACAGGCAAGTGCCACCACACCTGGTTTAGGTTTTTGTATTCTGCCTAATCTCATTTGTGTACTCCAGCCATACTGAATCATGATTTCCCAAAGGCAACTTCATTTATTTTCCCCTGTGAGACTTTGCATCCCATTTCTTTGGCTTGGAAGAACCTTTTCTTACATAACTTTTGTTGATTCTCTAATCGAGAATTTTTCAGACCTCAAGATTTAGGTAGTAGTTTTTCCAGGAAGCCTTTCCTCACTGATTATCCTGCCCTCAGACTAAGTATCCCACCTTAGTGCTTACTTCTGTTATTATAGTGCAGTAACCTGTGTCTCTATATAGGAAGTTAAGCTACTGGGAAGAGTTTTTTTTTTTTTTTTTTTTAATTTATATGCGCAGTTTTCCATCTGATGAGAAAGATGTTACTTTGTTGTACACGTGGGAAAATGAAGCTGAGGGATCTGATTTGACCAGACCCTGGGAATCAGCGTAGTTGTGGTTTAGAGGCCTCTTTTCCTATGCCAGGGTAAAATACCAGGAAATATTAACCTCAGTAATTTGTGGTGTTTCTTCTTGAATAAGACCTGTATCTTCAAGTAGATTTTAAGCATGGCTTGAGAAAGGTCATATTTAATGTTTCCTAGCAAAAGCATTCTTTGAAGGGGCTGGGTATGACAAGCCTTTTCTTTCTGCTCTGGTGACTAGAAGGTTCTCTCTTCTTTGTAGAATATTTCCAATCATGCCCTTGATACAGGAATTCCGGAATGATTTCTTAGAATTTGTCCAGAGATGATTCATCAATAGCAAGCTGTTGGGAGGGATGTGAGACTGGGAGAAGTGCAGCAACAGGTGCCTGGCACTGTAGTGAGAATGACTTGAATTCCTTGAAAGTCATGTTTCACACCTTTGTCTGCCTTGTCAAGCATAGTGCGGGGTCTCAAATATCTCAGGTAGCTGTTACTTTTTTGCTGAGTGAGTTTGTTTTAAAGGAATTATTAGCATATGACCAATGTACATTTCAGGGTTTTCAGTAGTTGAGAGCAGAAGTATTCAAAAGACATACAATTTGGAAAAAAATGTAATTATGGTTGACATGCCCATCAAGAATTGAGAAGAGGCAGTGCATGGTGTGGTAAGTGGTCAAATCTAAATTTTTCATGAAACCATTGCCTTGGACATTTAAGAAAAAAGATAGGCTTTGTGGTACATCAAAAAGGGCTGGCAGTACAGCTCTGTGTTGAGGCCCAGAGTTCAGTCCCAAGTATTGTCACAAAGTATGTTTATTTTATTGGCATGAAACAAAACACTGGCTCCCATTTGTAAGGCCCAAAAAAAATAAGGTTAGAAATGTTAGGGTGGAGCTCAGTGGTAGAGTGCTTGCTTAGCATATGCAAGACTGTGGGTTCAGTACTAAGCATTGCACAGAAACGCTGTGTGTGTGATTTTCTGTTTTATGTATTTTTGGTTTTCAGAAAAACCTGTCAAAATTAAACCTTGAAGATGTTTGTCGAAAGGCAGCAATGCTGTTGATTAATTCAGGGAGCTGGGACAGTTAGGAGTGACGTGATTTGAAATTGTGGAGGCTGTTGCAAAGGGTTTGCACTGAACATTGTTCCTTGTTGGTTGGACAATACCTTTGGCTTTGAAATACTGACAAAGAGTGAATAGGGGAGGATAATGTGAAAGATTGTGGTGCAAGTGGACCGAAGCCAAGAGCACTCAGCCAGAAACAGTAGTACAGTAAATAGATTTGCACAAGTAGACTTCAGGGTGGCTAGGGAGAGACCTGATGATTGTGTCAGACTAGCTGCACGGAATGTGGATGTCGATACAGGTTCAGAAACCTGTTCTTAATCCTAAGGTGGAATATTAAATTCAATTTCTTTTTCTCTTTTGCTCCAGTACTGGGAATTTAACCCAGGACTTTGTGCTCTACCACTGAGTTCCTCCAGCCCCCTTTAAAAAATTGCTCTGGCTGGCTTTGAACTTTTTAATCTTACCTCTACCTCCCAGGTGCTGGCTGGGATCACAGGCACGTACCGTCTTGCCTGGCTTAGATTTCATTTCATTCACCCACGTGTCAAAAGGACTGGGTAGCTGACATATAATAATGTGTAACAAAGTTTAGTTTTACATATAGCATGTCTTTTGCTGTGAATTACATGAATGCTTAGGTTGTTCATCTAGCCCCCCACCCCTTCTGTGGCGCTGCAGGAGATGGATCCCAGGGCCTGTGCCCGCTCTTCATTGTGCTACATCCGGGAGCTGCAGGCCTCCCCTTTCTGTGCTCCTGGAGTCTCTAAGAAGCTTGGTGAGCAGAGAGTCAAAGCAGGGTCTGTGTTGGCTGGCTGGACTTATGCTGGGTTTTCATGCAGGCTCTGCCACAGCCTAAAGCTATTCTTTCCAAGCTGTGTGTTAAACTCTTCTGGAAACCAGCCACATTCCCTCACCTCTCAGCTCTGCCTGTTCAGTATACCTCCCAGTCACCACTTTTTTTTCCTTGTCATAAGCATGGTTTTTAGTTTGCATTATTACATCATCTGTGTCATTAGTTACGTTTTAGGTTTATGTCCCTGGGGAGCACATTAATGCCCTTGCTGATCTCCTAAGCAGAACTCTAGTCAGCAGCAGCAGCAGCACAGTTAGGTGTGTTTGCTTCTTAAGGAGAGAAGTTCCCTAGATGGCTGTTTACATTGTATGTTGATTGTTTTTAAATTTTGAAACACTTTTGCTGAGTTGGGGAGCTGGCCTTGAACTTGTGATCCTCTTGCCTCAGACTGCAGAGTGCTGGGATTATAGCTTGTACCACCTTGCCTGTTTATGTTTAATAGGTGAGGTTGAGTGAATATTCTTGACATATTCCACAATTTTTTCTTCCTTTTTGTGGGCTTTAGCTACAAAGCCATGCCCTCTTTCCTGTGCTGCCCCCGATTAAATGGCCTGACACATGCTAAGCAAGTACTGTACCACTGAGCTACACACCGTGCCCTGGAAGACATTCTTTTTTATCACTCCTTACAGCCCATAGGAGGCAGAAACACCATTAGCTCCAAATTCCCTTTTAGTGTGTCTTAAATATTTTTCTTTATTGTTAAAATTCACCATCTTGGTGTCTGCTGGCTTTCTGCATGTCTTCTAACCACTTCCTGATGATAGCTCTCTCCTTTGAAAACAGGAAAGAACCGGAGGCTGAAGCAGGCCAAAGAAGAAGCTCAGGCTGAGATTGAACAGTACCGCCTGCAGAGGGAGAAAGAGTTCAAGGCCAAGGAAGCTGCGGTGGGCCCTGTTTGTTTTAAATATTGATTTAGTTTCCTGAGCACCCGCTCCCTCCCCTGACACACACACTCTAAAAGTATCCAGTACAGCTTAGAGATTCTGACTGGTGCAGTTTTAACAGTTGAGTTACTGCATTTTATTTATTAGATTTGACCACTGGGGACCAAACCTTGCATGCTAGCAAGTGCTGTACCACTGAGCTACATTCTCCCGTGGTTCTTGGTTATTCTGTGCTTTGTTGGAGGCTCAGGGTGGGTCTCTTTAAGATGGTCAGTTTTATTTGTTCATTACCAATATTGAGGCCTTGTCTCCATTTACTTGTTTAACATGGTACTACGCATAGCATAGTGCTGGGGGCTCAGCTGAGCACAGGAGGAGGTGGGGTCCTTGCCTTCGGGGAGCTTAGCTCACAGTCTAAGTAATGAAATACAGGTCATGCGCAACCACAACTGACAAGTGCTGTAATGGTCATAAACTTTGTTTGGTAAAGTGTGCAGAGAGGCGCTCAGCACCACTGTAGTTGCCACCATGCACAGTAATGTTACAGAAACAGATCTTAGGAATGCAGAGGGTACAGGGAAACTTCTGGAAAGGGGCAGGAAGGGAGAGGGGCTTCCTAGGGAAGAGAAGCGCTGTTCAAACTGGGTTATAATTCATTGGCTCATACAGTTAAAAACCTATGTGAAAGACAAAAGTTTATCTTGATCTGAAGCTTAAGTAATGCTCTCAGGACGCTTCTGTCTTGGACTCTGCCCTTGGTTTGATGTCCTGCAGTAGTTTCAGACACACATCCTCCCCGGCCCTGCTCTAGTGATCACTGGCACATACTTCCCTCCTAGTATAGAGTAGCGAACGTTTTGATCACCTTTGCACTGCAGGATCACCAAGCCTTTAAAACTTGCAGTGTTTCTCACCGGACCAGTTGGTACTGTAAGTTGTCAGACTGTGCACCAACACTCTCTGGTCAAGACAGCTGTTTCCTGTCTGTGCTGCAGTTGCCAGTGAAAATGGAGTCAGTGTTGCACTGTAAAGCGCGCACACTGAGGTTTTGTTTTCTAGCACTGTTCCTTGGTAACATCTTCGGTTTTGAGACAGCTAATTGGGCCTTGGCATACAGTTTATATTCCTAGAACAGAGGTGACAGGGCTTTTTCCTCCCATTCCTGGGGGTTGTAAACTGAAAAATTTGAGGTAGCAGCTGAGCTCTTAGGAAATGCCCCGGGTGGTCCTGTGTTACATACAGTGAAGGCATAGTGTGAAGAACCCTCTCAACCTTTGATCTCAAGACTCAAATTTGAATTTTTGCATGTTCACATTGCTCTTGGAGTCCATCTGGTTTCTAATCTATGAAATGTGGAGTGACAGCTTCACAGCTCTCCTGAGGAACAGATAACACACAAGACTGCATTGAAAACTAACAAGTTTCCGAATCCGAAAGGATGTTAGCTTACATGAGTGTGTGTGTTCATATTAATAAAATGAGGCATGAGTAGCTTAGGTAGTGAAAAACACGAAAAGTTATGTCTTCCAGAATTTGATTAGTCAAATTCTGGTAAGGTAGGTATAGTAGTTAACCAAAGCCAGCCAAACCTAAAACGATAGAAGGTAAAAAGAAATTCATGAGTCAATGTGTGTTAATTTGTGAATGGAAACTGAATAGTAAAGATATATATGCAGTAAAAAGTTCAAGCAAAAAAGAGCATCAGTGAATAGTTCCCTCTCACCTAGACTGGCCGTTCTCTTCAGAGCCAGTCAGTGTTTCCTATGTATTCTTTCTGAAGGAACATATATCTTATATTTATAATACTGGTGAATCTGTTGAGCTAAAAAGAGTTAAAATATTAACCATTAATGATGAAACTCCTTGTATGTTTCTATTAAATTGTATCTTTCTTGATTTTTTTTTTTTTTTTATGGGGACTGTACCGGGGAACTCTGGACCTTCCTATTGAACTACATCCTCAGCTCTTTTTAAAATTTTCCATTTTGAGACAGGGTTCTTACCAAGTCACTAAATTTCCTAGGTTGGGTTTGAATTTGCAGTCTTCCTGCCTCAGCCACCCAGAGTGCTGGAATAGAAGTATTTGATTTTTTGTTTTCTTATAAACACAATATACAGTATCTTCTCACTTTTAAAATCACTCCAAAAAATACCAATAATAATACACTAATATTGTTCAGTATTTTGCCAGCTACCTCCCTTAGACTGCATATTTTAGTTCATATTATGTTGCTGAGCATTTTTTTTTTTTTTTAAGGTACTGGGGATTGAACCCAAGACCCTGCACTGAGCTACATCCTAGCCCTTTCTTTTCTTCCTTTTTTTTTTTTTTTTTTTTTTTG